TGTCAGCCCTACATGTAGCAGTACCTTTTTATCAATAGTAGTCTTAACTGGAACTCCTGATCCTCAGTCATCAGGTCCCTTAACAGTCACATCAGCACCTCACAAAGTCTGCAATAGAGAACTTGTTCTATTCTGCCATGCATGTCTATAGCCAACCATAAATCTGCCCCAGTATTACAAGGATGATTTAGAGCAGTAAACAACTGATAGGCTTATTTACAAGTTACATCTCCACTTATTTGAAGCCCTAGGTAGAAGTTTATGAGGACAGTTGTAATGGATGGCCGCTTCAGTATGGAGTATCTGGAGATGTGTAATGCTGAAGACAATATAACATTAGTGGATAGACATGGCCTTATAGTTCAGAATGGCCCATACAAGATGTATTTAAATACTGTGAAGGATCTTAAAGAAGTGAGTGGGCTATAATTGATCTTTGTAATTGTGGGCTGATAGCATGTACCAGAAATCTATGTGCTATGATTCCAGAGTCATGAATCAGGTAAATGCTAATCACCATAACCTTGAAGCCACAGGTATTAAGGAACTTTGTACAACTGGGGACCAGGAATTCCTCTTTGATACTAACTGGGTGTTGTACAGCTATAATACCTAAGTCTTATGCTGAAGACTTAAACTGGAGTTGTGTTTGACTAAGACTGAGCTTCTCTGGCAGGAGAAGTTGGAGAGTGCACACTGAAGTCAAGCAGAGAGAACATCTAGGTTTTTATTGCTGATGTCCCTATATAGTATGCATAGTAACAGGAGGACAAAACTTAAGTATAATATTGCAGTAGCTATATCTTAAATAGAGAGAGGTATTTGGTAATAAGGTGTGACAGAGCTCCATTGAAGTACACAGGAATGAGGTATCAGTAAATGACTTGAATCATAAAACTGATAGATGGGAATATTAGAGATGAGAACTGAGATGAATCAGTGATGTAAACAACAACAGATAGATGGAGTGTTACAGCTTCGAGGGGGGGTTTCTTTCTCTTTCCTAACTATTCGTTGTTGACCCTGTACTATACAACTGATCCCATCACTTGATGTGTTTCATCGACATCAAGCATCTCATATCTATCATTCTCCACCTGTCTCTCATTTTCACCTTCATCACATTTCATATCTATCATGTTTCATCTCCATCACTGATACAACCCAGTGAAACCTGTCTCATGTACATCACTGATCCAACTCAGTGTTTCATGCATATTAAACTCTATTTGCTTCGCTCTATTTAAGTGGCACTGCTTCTGCTACTGTACTTTAGTTTTGTCCTCTTGTTCCCTACATACACTTCATAGGCACAGTCCTCTAGTAATAGACTCAGTTGTCTATTCCAGTCCTAGTCTGAAGCTTTGCTTCAACCAGTATACTCTCTCAAACCGCTATCAGACATAGTGGCTCAGTCTACAACTCTAGTTCAGTGTAGGACTATAGCGTGTACAAGTCCTAGTAACAGTTAACCAGTTGAACTCCTGATCCTCAGTTGTTAGGTCCCTTAACATAGAGATAAAGGAGTGACACATCAGTGAAATAAGAAAAGGTCAAGTTAGATTGTACAGGATCAAAAGAGGATGCAGTAAGAACAAAAAGAACCCCCTCCCCCCTAAGATTGTAACAACAGGCATTGGTGCAGCAGCCTGCAGTCAACATGGATACTTTGTACCTCATATGGCAGTTGACTTTCAAAAAGGCAAGAGGTGTAATTTATAATATAGCTCTTTGCAAATAATTGCTAATGTAACTTAAGCAAATGAACATTGATCATGTTCTCAGCCAGGTTATAACAAGAATAGCTGTGCTTGTTCTCCTCATAGCCATGTACAACATAATATGCCAGTATTTTCATCATCTGTGAATAAGGTTTAACCAGAGTGTGCACTTTTCATGGCCATCAACAATCAGTATTATTGGTGGGATTGGGCTCTTCCATGTATGTGGGCATCAGGATAGCTGTTTCACAATGTACCCACCTAACTTTATTGAAGGGGCAGGCCAGGTTGATGGTGAAATCATTGAGATACTTTGGGCCCCTTTGGATAACATATCTGGCAGCACAAGCAGAATGAGTACAGCCCATAGGAAAGAAGTTATTGACAATCATATGAATGATTCTAATTGGAAGAAGCTCACAGAAATGGGTAGGTTTATGCTGTGTTTAATCTGGTGGCACCCTTAATTTTTGCACAGTTTTCTCCCATATCACCAGGCAGGAGCTGGCCTTGAGGCAAGTATAGTGACTCTGCAAGAGCCTGAAATCTCTGTGAATGCAGACTGACTTTGCAAGTGCCAAGCTGCCAAATGCAGTGCATTAGCTACCCACAAATATACAGTAGGGGACAAAAGTGTTGCAATGTTTACAACAGTTGTGTTGCTAGGCCTATATTTAATGAATCAGCCATTCAAATATACCACCTATAGGTATCATTGGAAAGCCTAGGATCTGGGCTGTACAATAGATGCTACAAACATGTAACTTAATTAGGCATTGACTGAGTTATTGATGAATTGTTGCCCTAAACCCATTGCAACAGTTTTGTCCCCTGCATATTTGACTACAGAAAGTGACATATCTAGTACTTTGTATATCCTTCTTTTGCTGTCAAAACTGCCTCAACCCTTCTAAGCATACTCCTGATTAAGTCCTGACAGACAGAGGCAGGAATTTGCTCTCACTCCTTCTACCACTCTTTCCAACAATTCTCCAATTCCCCTAGGTGGCTCCTCATATTCTCCCAACCTCCTTTTAAGATAACTCTGGAGATAGTTAATGGGGTTTATGTCTGGAGACTGTGGAGGCCATACTATAGTACTAACTCCGTTGTCTTCTAGCCACTTCTTGGCCTTCTTGCTGGTGCACTTGGGGTCATTGTCCTGCTGAAATACCAGATCCTCTACAGAAATCCCCCAATACTCCACACTTTCCAGAAGTTCATCATCCAAAATGCTCACATAGAGATCAGCATCCATCTTTCCCTCAATCTTGCATACATTTCCCACTCCATCCCAGCCCATACAACTCCACATCATCAAGTTTCCCTCTCCAAACTTAAGAGTTCCCTCTACCAACCTGTCACTGAGCCCTTCTCCTGGCTTTTTCCACCCCCATTTTCTTCTATCTGAGCCCAGGTGATTGATTTTAGTCTCATCAGACCATACCATACCCTTCCAGTCCTCCAAAGTCCAGTGCTGATAGGCAAGTGCAAAGTCCATTATCTCTTTTAGATAGTGCTTAGAGAGAACTGGCCTTTTATGCTTTACTGCTGCCTTTTAACCTGTTCTTCTCAGCCCTCTCCTGATGGTCCTAGGTGAGATAGACCCCTTCACTATATTTCTGAGCCTTTTCCCCACATTTATAGCAGTGTCAGCCTTTCCAGAGCTGATAAGGTAGATAGCATAGCAAATTGCAGCAGGAGAAAGCTTAGAGGAGTGGTCTCCAGTAGCTTTGAGAAGGTTGGGACAAAGTCTGACATGTATTCTGCTGACAGTATAGTAGTGTACACCAGTAGTATGGGATATCTGCCTTGATGACTGGCTATCAAGGTATCGCCCTTAACCCTAACCCAAATCCTCTAACCCTAACACTCACTGGTGATGTTAGAAGTTGCAAGAGGTAAGTGAGGTGCTTGTCTTGAGAGTGAATAACTCAGAGGATGAGTTGAGGATGAAGTAGACAAGGAAAGAACTGTAAGAACAGCTTGCCTCTCAATGCTGTATTGCTCTGGTATTTATACATAAGAGACCAGACCCCTAATACTACTGGTAGTATACCTAACACCTAGGCTGACTGATGCTCAGTATACGCTATTGGCTATCTAAGAATACCAATGTCTAGTGTTGATGTGACCTCGGGAAACCTAACCCTAACTCGGGGGGGGGATGTGAAGTAGAGGGTTAGTTCCTGTTTCTATTACAGCATGAGAGGGGGGTTCTTTTTGTTTTCCTAACTATTTGTTGTTGACCCTGTAACTGTACAACTGATCCCATCATTGATGCGTTTCATCTACATCAGTGTTTCATATCTATTGTGTTTCACCTATATCATG